AATTATTTACACACTTACTGGAACTATGGAGAGAGAGAGTGGGGGGGGGAGGGGCGGGATCTAGTTCACTCCTACAGATTTGCGTAAGCGTCCTCTTTACCCGGACACAAGATGGACCTGGACGTAGATCAGAGTTTATCTGAAGAGACAGATGTGTGAGTGTGTGTATGTGAATGACAGAGTAAGAGGAAGAGTGAGTAAATTCAAACAAATAGTACCCAATCTAATTTATACACTCCTGATAGTAATACTAGGGTAACCTTTATTTCGTAAACAAAAGATATAAACAGACACGGCCAGAGTGACAGCGCTGTTAAGATAAAAGCCTCACCATGGGGGAGAGCAGACCTGTAATTACACACACAAGGGACTCCAGTTGCTATGTAAACATCCCAACCACTCTGCCTAGCAGCACCCTGCCTCTGTGCTGCGCTGCTCCGGCTCCTCGCATGAATCACAGGTCCAACATCTGGTTTAGCATGCTGGAAGGGACTCTGTCGGTTTGGCATGCTGTACGTGTGTGGAGTGTGTCGATTTGGAACAGAGGACCCACGCCTGCCTCTCTCCTCCCCCTGGCTACCCCACTACTCAGATTACAGTGATTGCACAATGCGTTTTGGCACTCCCCCCTATTGCTGGCCTTAAGGAAACATTTTGGATATAGAGAGACGAACCTTTCGCTCAACTGTAAGTGTGGGTGTGTGTAGGGGCATTACAACCACTTTTGGCATCACAGTGACTGTTGTCTGCCAAGAGTATACAAAAATGCAGACAGAGAAAAGTTGTTTACGTCGCTGTAAAATAAGATGGTGGTATGTTTTTTTTTACACCTTCATACCTTCCTGTCATTTCCACAAAGTATATATCCAGTATGAGGTTCTATTTGTGTACCAACTTACAGAAATTACTTCAGCATGGATGTGAAAATGTATGACAACAACGTTGTGAGCCTAATTAGCAATTAGCCCACTTAGACCAGGCTAGCTGGTTTCAAAACTTATGGTCAAAAGAAACAAATGACAAATAAGCAATAGTGACCTTTATCATAGATTATTTCTGGAGGACCAATTTACACCTGTTGCTACAGTGGATTCCGATAAACCAATCAATCAGCAGAACTGAGATGATGTACAGACAGTTGTCGACTTTGAATGAGAATATGTGGCTAATAAAATGTTAGGTTTTTTTTTTTTCAGTTTAAACAAGTTCTGTCAAAAACAGTTGTGCTTAGGCTACTTCAATATGCCAACACATTTTTTTGTGGGGGGGGGCTTTTTTATGACTTTTTTTTTTAATTTTAGAGACAGAATAGTGGATGGAGTCAGAAACTAGGGGGAGAGCGAGTGGGTAACGACGTCCTGTACATGCAACATGGGTAGAGTATGCATATAATGTATACTTTATTGATCCCGCAAGGGGAAATTTGTTTTTACACTCTGTCTAGTTAACATGCTACACAAACATAGGCTGAAATATATACACATGCACAAACAAGATCCTATGGAGAGGTTTCAGAGTGAGGGGGCTGCCCACAGTGGGCACTCCTGGGCTGGTGGGGGGGGTTAGGTGCCTTGCTCAAGGGCTCAGGAAGTGGACTGGCACCTCTCCAGCTACCAGGCCAATTTCTGGACTTGGTCCGTGCTGGGACTTGAACCATGCCAACCGTGCTGGGACAATCACAACATATGTTGTGATTTGTCAACATTAGCGCTCGCCTGTTTCAACAGAAGACAGTTGTGATGCCATTAGTGCCTCCTTATCAATAAATGAAAATAGACCCAAACAAATGTCTGTATTTTGATAGTAATGAAAATCTTATTTTGAGGATTTCAAAATAAAGTTTTGTAACAGATTGATACGGTACAAGCTATGATGAACCAGACAGTTAAAAATCTTGAAATGGAAGCACAATTAAATTTATTTTCTACTTTTCACATTTAACAATTTCATTGTAGGTCGAGTAACAACTAGTTCATGACAGATTTACATGAATAGCCTAATCATTCTTCCTGCCCCCCACCCACCCAAAGGTAAAATCAGGAAAGGCTATAAAGAGAAAGTTCTCCTGCAATCAATAATGTCTGAGTGTTTTTCAGCTATAGCCACCAGGCCGGCCTTGTGCCTCCGATATAACCAGCATCCTGCCGGAGCTGTTTCTGGCAAGTGCCTCAAATTAATATCTGGCATGAGTCCTACAAGACTCTATTTCATAAAGAAACCCAAACCCAGCCCAATGTCCTGCCATATCCTTTACAAAATAACAGTTTGGCAAGGGGAGGGTAGTCAACCACATAATGGTAGTAAGGATATGGGGGAGAAAAGTTATAAAAAGCAAAAAAAAAAACTAGAGTGAGGTAGCAGAGCAGAGGTTTAAAATATGGACGCCAAGGTGCTCTCACTCTGACTTTAAAAGAGTTATGGGAGGCCCAGATCCTGGATTGCATTACGCTGAGAGAAGACTCATTGCAGACTAATCTAAACATTACGTAAGATCTCTTCTGACAAGTTTAGAGGGCAGATGTGACTGTTTACACAGATGCTGCAAGATGATAGAAAAAGGGAGTGAAAGATTGAGAGAGGTGAGAAAAGCTGTTGTGGACTATTAGGGGAAATGTGGGAAAACATATAGATAAGATCATCCCAGAAAGTGAAAAGACAAAAAACAATGAATTTGTCCAGAAGCACAAGAGAAAGTATGTCTAAATATCTTGATATTGGAGGGAAAAGTTGATTTCTGTACTGCAATTTACCTATTCAAGAAACAGCAGTTGTAAAAAATGGAGGATCTGAAGATTCGGTCATAAATCACTTGGTACACTCTCTGCCAATTGCTCTTTGGAGGAAAGGGCATTTGGTTGTCTTACTGTAAATATCTGTCCCTTGTGACACAGTACAACAATGTGTCGTGCCGTATGAGGAAGAATTTAGAGGAAAACTTCATACGTGCCTTCATTGTGTTGCAGATCCTGGCATTGTGGGAGAAATTATGTTTGCCTTACCCACAGCACATTCTGACTACACTGCTATTGTTTCAGTAAAAGTCAGCTCTGTGGAGTGCGGTTCAAACGTCCAGACAACATTTCAGATAATAACCTATGTTGGCAAGAGAGAGATAGAAAGCATGCAAAACGCAAACCACATTTTTTTAGAGAGCTAGCTATGTAGGATGCCTCCTGCTGGGTAATTATTCCTGTGCTACCACGAAAAAACAAAACAGGGATGTTGCACATTGAAACTGGACTGCGTTCAAGTCCAAAGGAAACCATTGTGAAACCAGTGTCGGTAAACAGGACATCTCACTATCTGAAAAATGCAAGAGAGGAATGCCCACTGGTTCTTCAGAGTGGTTTGGTTCAAATTGTGGCCAGCTTGACAGATTTTTCTTCAAACTGTAGGGCTGAGTGTCAAGTTTTTGGTCAGTAAATTGAATATTTCGGTCAAGTTACTAAGCGACAAAAACCAACACTGACTATTGAAGCCTGATGCGGTCATTACAGGAATAATGACTCCCCAACAAACTAAAACTCCACCCTCTTTTAGCCCAATAAATATGTATGTATTTGTTCTATGATAAAAAAATAGTTCAGAAGAAGCTGTTTCATATTCTTCCCTATGTCTTGGCACAGTGAAGCCAAAGTTGGTCATTATTTCCTGCTGCAGCTAGAAACTATTTCACAGAAATGTACAATAGGAAGGAAAGCAATCTAAAGAAGATACAGATGAATTTGACAAACTAAGTAAGTGGTAGGGTGTAGACAGATTATTGAGAAACTGTTGCTCATATTCACAAGAACTTCAGGGAGTATAGGGTCATCAAAGACATGAACATTTCTCTAAGTGAGAGGTTCGGTATTAATCATTAGAAAGATACGGTTCAAAAGGTTGGGTAATGTCAGTAAATGAGTTCATCACAGTAAGTTTTCATGTACAGTCAAGCTACTGCTGCTAAAGTTCAAGCTCGAACAGGTCATTATATTAGACTCCTTGTCCCAGTCTACAAGCTGCAGGAATCAATTTAATGACAGAAGAAGGCAGACTCGGCTACAGTAGGTGGTGATGTTCCCCCTTACTTCATGTATAGGACTGTTTTCTGGTTTACCTTCTGAGTCTCACACCAAATAATCCCCCTACAGCGTTTTCCTTCCATCCAGCTACTTCAATATGTTACCTCCTTCAGCTGACACATCAAACCTTGTCTCCTCGTCTGTCCAGAAATTGATTTATTATATTCATGTATGGTTTATTGGATAGGGACAGAAACAGTATACATAGACAAACTAACACTGAACAGCCATCCAGTGTAAGTATCATCATAGAGTTTATATTGGATGCTAATTTGCAACACCCGTCCCTATAAAGAGCAATTGCCTGCATTGTTGTGTTAGCAGGCTAATGTTAGCACACTTTGGTTAACTCATAGCTTCACATTGCATATAAATGGACACGGAATGACCGTCACTAATGCCTTGATGAGAAACACCCCATGGACATGTTGATATTGAGGTTAAAAACTTCATTTCCATTAATATGACAAACAACATTTTCTTACCTCCATTTCCAGTGTTCACCTTTATAGCAGTTCACTTATTCTCCCACTCTGATTTTCTGATTTGTCTGTTCGGCAGTCGTAAATAACAAAGGATTTGGCAATATCTGAGTCTCATTCCAATCAATCTGACAGATACATGTAGGCCTGCAGAGTGTTTGTTTCTGAGATTGAACTTGTCAGCACTTTCTTAAATGTAAATCCCCCTCAGTCTCAAACCTGACAAGCACTGTCTGGAAAGGCATGCTGGGAGCAACGGTGGAAAATCCCAGAGTATGGGTAAAGTTGTGGTCTTCTAACAGCACAGCACTCAAGGCTTAGTGTATATTCAATATTATTTATCCTTGATACCAGAGTTGTATTGGGTTTGACAGGGAATGTAAACAAACAAAAATCTTGAAATTCTGACAGGTATTTGGTTCAAAATGAGGCTAAGCAATGTGCAAAATCTTACCTGCAGATGTAAGGCAGCATATTGCAAGAAGTAACAAGGGGATGGGGGATCTTCTTGCCATTCTGTAAATATCCTGCAGCTTCCAGTATGAAAGAGAATGAGGAACCTGCCTTTCTCCTGTGTTTTCCTAAGGTTTCCCTCTCTGTGACGTAGGCTTCAGGAAGTCAGCCACTAGCCCCAGCTGCAAAATGAACAAAAGCAGAGAAAGTCAACCAAATGAGGCAGGTTGTATGAAGCATGGACAAACAGCAGGGAACTGGTCTCTGCTTAATAAACCCGGTGGGAGTGATGAGATGAGACAAGAGAGGCAGCAGTTTGGAGAGAAGGGGATTAATCCAGGAGGGTTAATTGGGGGTCATGCATGCTTCAAAGGACCGTGCTGCACACACCTTCCCGTTGCCCATGGCCAGACCAGAGTGTGTGAGGATAGCAGGACAGCAGACTGCCTCATTGGGTGTGAAACACTTTGGAACATGCCACAGGTTATTAACAGACTTTAATTGAGAGCGTCAGGAAACAGTGAATGCTCCAGTGGGGGCTTGAGTAAGCAGCTTAGTTCCACCGGAGAAATCAGCATGACCTCGCCTGAAACTTTAACTTTATTAATCTAACCTCAAACCCTGACCACCATCATGGGACAAAAAGTTGATGTAACATTGTTCATTTTGTCCAACATTTTGATAAGACTCCATCTAGAGAAAAAGTTCAACATTTATAGTTTAACTGATAACAATGTGGGGTGATAAAAACTGAACAGCATCCATTATCTATACCGCTTGTCCCTTCTGGGGTCAAGGGGGGACTACTGGAGCCGATCACAGTTGTCATTGGGTGAGGGGCGGGGTATACCCTGGATTGGTCGTCAGTCAGTCACAGGGCTGAATGATGGCTCCTCTGAAATGTTAAATGTTGTGAAAGAACAAACTGCTTCAGTACTTATCGCACGACATCTATTAGGAGGACTTTTGACATTTATAAGATATGACGGGTATCAGTCAACCGCACACCACAGAGACTGTCAGTGTGTCTCCATAGCAACAACGCTCTTCAGAAGTCAGTCAGTGGATGCCATGGGAAAAACCCACCTGGAAGGATTGACACCTAGATGCTGTTTCCACAGATATGTTGAAAAAAATGGAAATGGAAAAAATTGCAGTCACTCAGTTTGGTTTTAAACACAACATTAAGATACAGTTTTAATAAAGATACCTGAACGTTTATGCAGATGAAAATTCAACTTTGAAGTGCTTCCTTCAAATTAAAAGCATTAAACAGTATCTCAAATGAAAATCTGTCAGTACTGATGAGTTTGATTAGTGCTCAACATACATGCTGCAATACAACCAATTCTAATCAAGCCAGTAAGCTGAACATTGCCTTGGCCAACAGTGTAACCTTCTAGTTGTAGTAGATGTTTTAAATTTTGACATGTTGCACTGGATATTAAAGTCAGCAATTTGACTTACAGTTTGACTATAATAAACAAGTCAACTTTTTTTAAGTAAAGATTCCAGCTGATAACAACAGATCTGTTTTATTTTCTAGGTTTGACCAATAAATAAAGACATCATAAATCATTGCCATTGAAACCGACAGTTGTGAGGATCAGACAGAAGCAGTGGATTTGAACAACACTGGATACGCAGCTTGGGAACACATTTATTCTGGCAAGCATGAATATAAATTGTATATTAAGGGCCTATTATCTCCATAGTAATGCAGAATCTTCTCCATTTTATAGATCTGAGCCTATGTTCTTAAAGCATGAGTCAAAGTTCAAAGTTGAGAGATTAAATTGGTCCCAGTTCATGCTGAAGAAACATTTTAAAACAGAAAGTGTTCAATACTATCTTCTGTTTCTGTATCTATCTGTTCTGGAGCAACAACTGAAACAGTTTTATCATAACATGTGGTCTACAGATAAAATTAAGCTTATTTTTTCTCAGATAGATATGATCTTTTAAAACTGCTACCCGTGTGGGAAGGTTGCTGTGACAACAACTGCAACAGTTTGTGGTTTTTGAAGGCTGCATCTGTTAACCAGGTGGAGAAAAACAGTAGCACACCTCTCACCATCTCTTGATTGTGGTGAACAGTAGAGAGTGATGCACAAAGTACTAAGGTGCATCGCTCTGCAGTGCAAGCTTCTTTACAGGACAAAAGAGCCTTTCAGTGCAGGGGCTGGGGAGTCTTTTTGGAGGATCATGACAAATATTACACTTTCAGCGAGCCAGCAGCCTCTGTTTGATTTATGTCCCTTCTTGACCTTCATCTCCTCACAACCAAACAAAGGTTAACTATGTGGCAATAGCTTCCATGAGGCAAAGACCAAGTCAAAGGGAAGTTCAAAACTGAAAGGAAGCAGTATACTCTGTTTTAATATACTGAAGTTTAAGAATAAAATACCTGATTTGTACATTCCTCTTTTCTTATTGAGGCAACAAAGCTTACACCTTTATTTTGTCTTGAGGTTTTCAGGTTTTACTCCAAAAGCTCCATGACACGGTGCTGGTTTTGTTGCAGCAACAACTCAAATCACCTCATGTGACTTCTCTTCAACCCTGACCGTCTAAGCCGAGCAACTATTTCACCCAGAGAAGATCTGGAAAGTACATCAGGACATGCAGACCCCAGACAGAATGTCCTGCACATAACCAAAACCAAGCTTCATGCTTGTGGTCGCTTCAATGTTAAAGGCCTGGCTTGTATCTGTGTCATCACGTATGCATATGTACTCTGGAGTTAAGTGTTGTAACGCCTGTATACGTTCATATGTTCCTGTAATCACACAGAAGTAAAGAGAGAGCAGCAACACACACAGGAGGCTGTTTTCCACGCAGCATCTTGTTTTACATGAGTTAGATGTTTCTTATCTGACATTGGTTAGCTTTATAAGTCATTAAGGCGTCCATGTGGTTGTATGACCTGCTGAAGTCTCTTTAATGAGCCCTTCTCCTCTGTGAGCGTGAGCTTCTACAGGCTGAGCGAGCACCGAAAAAAACCATCAAACCACCAACTTCTTCCATCACAACATACAACATCATCTCTGCCTTATTTCAAGAGAGCAAGTCCACACACACGTTGGCACACAACAAACATCCTTGACTGAGCATACAACCTGATTCCTGTTCAAACACTTCTGCTTTCCACAGCTTCTAAAATACAAGGATTTACAAGCTGCTGTGTTTTGTATCATCGTGCACAACCAATAAATCACAAATATAGAACACATGTTTCACGTGACCAGTATTGTGAAGGCCAAGATATTAAAAAACATCCTGTGCAGAACATACAGCCCAGACAACTATGATTCACGTTCTGAAAGTGCATCACGTAGTTTGTCCTGATGAGCATGCTCACTTAATTACGTGTAAAACTCTGCACAGTTCACAACAAATAAAGCAGAGCATCACAGTGTAATAGATGATGGTCCACACTTGACTCAGGTGACGGTGCATGATAAGGTTAAGCACTCTTAATGGGAAGTTTTTGATTCAGAAAACAACTTACCTAGATGCATCGACAAAATATGTGCAAACTTACTTAGATAATTAAGTTAACTTATACTACAGTTCAAATGTAAGTTATGTTGGCCACTACAGTGTTCAGCTGTTAATGTGTGCTCATGAAATCAGGTAACAGCATTAGCTTTAAAAGTGAAACATTAGTCTGTTAATAGCAATGAGAAATCAAGCTGGGCACTTTTCATTGTTACATGACACACAATGAATAAATAAAGTATCAATTAATAAACACCAGAATCAGTTATATGTTGCTGCAGCTGTAAACATCTACTGCCTCATAGGTAACATTGCAATGCTTCATTTTACATATGCAATAACTGTTGCTGTTGGGTTTTTTTTTAGATCTGACACAAGTTAATTACATGTGCATCAATAATCTGATGTCAATGTTAATCCCTTGGTTCAGCACATCATATAAACACTGCAGAGAAGTGCAAAGCACATTTAAGTACAGGACAATAAAACTTGTGGACATCAGTGGTTAAACACACAGCAATTCAACTCTTAATTGCATGGAAATCCCACTGTCTTGCAAATAAAGGCATTCCAGTTGACTTACTGTAGGCTATATGACAATACTGCACAGCACTAACAGTCTGTCAATCATCCCTTATGAGCCCGAAACTCAGAGAGCATACTGGAAGTGTGTCATGCTGGTTTCTACCGGAGGTTAATGTCTCATTTAGCACTGCATATACACTTTCTCATAAAACACGCTGAAAACAGTAGAAAAGTTGTCAATACGTCGACATGAGGACCGATAAGCTAACAGCCTGAAGCTTCAAGCAGAAGGAGAGGAGGAAGGAAGGCTGACTGTCAGCGGCTTCCAGAGACAGATGTGTTCAGCTGGATTTACGGGCAGGCAGTGTCAGGGAAACTGGGGGAGATTATTTAGACATTTCTCACAGACACCATGTTCAACTACTGTCTTTTAATCAACTTTGCTCTTCTTGAAACAAGCTAGCTTTGTAAGTTCCCACAATATTAGCTTGAAAACGAGCGGACGTACCATGCAGAGTCTCCAGAAAATGCCCAAGTGAACTCGGCTTGAAGTAAAAAAAAAAGTCGCTCCGGTGGATGTGGATATGTGTAAACTCGCTCCTCTCTCCCGGCTGGACATTCACACCATTCCGTTGTGTCGTCGGAAAACAGCTGTGGACGACGTTGACGTGTTACTTTAGTAAACAAAAAGTGGACAAACAGCCCCTCTTGCTCAAGTTTTAAACAGTTTACTACTATCTGTCTCCCTTTTACTTGGGGGCTTCATCTGGGGGCGGGGCTAAGAGGGAGGAGGCTGAGCTGGGCTGCCGCTGCAGAGCTTCTCAAAGCAGGGTGCACGGTCTCCTCAGGAGCCACTTGATCTTACCTGCTTATTAAAACTGAAGTAGCCCACAGGTTGCATGACTTTGTGCTGAAATGTTTTAGCCATCACCTCCCATTTTGTGCAGATAACTTTACAATGTTGTTGTAAAGGTTTGCTATAGGTCACCTCTTATCACATAGGGGCCCTCGCATGGATTTGGATCTATATAGGGGTTCCTGATGCCAGATTATGTGAATGTCTGCCTAAGCAAGACTTTTGTCGTTTATCATAAAGGTGCAGACTCTTGATGTTTACATATGTCCTACCTCACAGGAGCTTTATTCTATCCTTCCAATTTTCTATAACTTTTGAATTATTTTTATTTTTTTTACTAGGCTACCGGGAGTGCAATTTACCAATGCAATAGGGACCTAAACAATTCCTATCAACAGCTCCTTATTCGGCCTAATGCAATTTAAATAGTCATAGATAAAACAATTGATTGAGGTATTGTTTGTCCTGGGTTAAGGTAAAGGCTTTTCGATAATAATGTCATTAGATTACACTGAGGTTACATATCTCAAGGGGATATAAATAAGTCAGCTGAACACTTAAGTGTAGGCTTTAAAGAGACAGGGTTGTATTGGGTAATAAGCGTGATGAATAGTTTTCTTTTTAACTCACCTGCATGTTCATGTTGCTTTATGCATAATTAATTCTAGAGATTTTTTCTTACCTACATTCTAATTAAGCGCACCAGATACAGATAAGATGATCAAATATGAAGAGTATCTTTAAGCAGTGGTTTCTCTATGAGATCAGAAAAGGGGTGTCTAAGGATTTATTGTCACCTATGTGCAAAATATTTCCCCAACATGTCATTTATCTGAAATCAGAGAACAAAAAAACATTTAGGATACTGGATTACTGGGTTGAAAATGGGCATGCATTTAATTTGTTTTAGTTAGGATCAATTCATTACTGCAAATGACTATTAAGTCTTTTAAGACATTACTGTAAGAAACAACCAGCACACATTATTTAAATCATTACAAATGTTGGTGGTATATAGTAATGCTGGAGTGCATCACCATTTATCATTGTGTCATCAGATAGTTAAACCCAACCTGACGCTGAACAGTAAAGTACATTAAAGAGCTGCAGAGAGTCAAAGAACCTCTATGCTCTGATTACTTAATGTTAATTTAGAAGACGCTTTTGTTCAAGGTGACGAACAATACATTTATTTGAACCTCAATAACAATTAATTCAACCTCCTTTGTGATTTATAAACGATGCACCCTTCCTTTTGTACCTATTTGCTTTTGATTGTGGGTGAAGATGTTTGCAAAGGACAAATATGATTAGGTACTGGACCCAATAAACATCCATGGAACAAAGCACCTCTCCCATATTTAAATTTTTGGTGGCTTCTAATATTAGGATGTAAAATATTTTTAAACCTCTAACAAGGCATTTTTTGTCACACACTTTCATCTGAGCACCCCACAGCTGCGATCACAAGCACTAAACTGTATGCAGACTGATTTGAGTGTGTGAAATCTCTCGTACCCTCCTGAACAAACGCTGCGCTGCTTCGCTGTGATATCAGGCATCCACTAAAAAGGAGACGCTGTGTGACTGGGTACAACATAAATGTCAGCGCAGTGATTCACCACTAATGAGATGACACCTGTGACAAGAGGGAAGGAAACTTTTGTTGTGGAAAACACACAAAACAACCACTGATGTGTTGCTTTTGAGAGTTGACAAGGAAACGCTCAAAGGGATCAAGTTATTTTACATCTCATCCATATGCATGTCTCAGTTAAAGTGCTCCACTTTGTTTATTTACACTGTGTTAGGGTTGCGAGTACAGCTGAGACGAAGGGGACTAGAAAGCAGAACGGTGCATCAAAGAGACGCGCAATCTGAAACATCTTCACTCTCCATTAATGTAACTCCACTCCTTGAGTTTGTATTGACCTACTTGATTGCACGAGCTGTCAAGTCCAACAATGCTCAGTCAGATGTGATGCTCCATGTACGAATGCCACCAAGTATTACTTCAGAGAAAAACAAATGATCTCAGAACTTGGTTGGCTTAATTACAGGCAAAAAAAAAACCTTCATTTTTTAAACAAGTAGGGTTTGAACTGATGTGCAAAATGTATTAACGTTTGCTGGGATGGAAACTGAGATGTTTTTTGTTTCAATAAATCGTGGCTGTACAGTGCAGTGCTGGATGGTACCTTTAACTCTTTCTTTGTTTGCTGGTCTGATCAGATCAGAGGACACAGGAGGAGGACTTTGCATGCACCCTGAAAAACTGAAACAGTGTTGAAGACAGACTTTTTATCCTGATGCTGTATTCATTGTTGTCGAGGCAAGAACTGACACACTAAAAGTGTGACATTCTCCTTTGATGTGACCGCATTTGACAGCTAAATTGATTGATAGATAGATTGATTGATTGATTGATTGATTGATTGTGACACAAAGACACACTCAAAAGGGTTCAAAAGCAAAGCTCTGCAGGGTAGTGTACAAAAAGGCAGGTTTATTCAGTCCAGGTCGATACACAGGTAGTCTAAAAAAAAAAACATGAGTAAACAAGTCCAACAGAGCAGGCAAGAGAGAGGGTCTAAAAGGCAGAGAAAAGTCATACACAAGATCTCAGTGGGATCTCAGTACACAGAGGAAAACACAACGATCAGGCAACATGAGCGAGGACACACACAGGGATTGAACACACAGACAATCAGCGGATAACGAGACACAGGTGAGTTCAATCAGGGCGGGGCTGACACACAAGGCGGGAAACATGAGGATCTGGAAGACAGAGACAATAGGTAACAAAATAAAACAGGAAATGACAATACTAAATAACAACAAGAAAAGAAACAGAATAAAACAACTTAACATATGGATAGAGTGATTGATTGTACTTTTTCATTGGCATGGTAAATATTTGTGTTACTGAGTGAGTTTACATAGAATGTGTATTTCAGTACTTGTACTTTTTTTGTTGAAGACTCAATATATGAATACACCTATCACTCCAATGCCAGCTACAATCTTCTTAGATTAAATGCATGATGGACGAAACAAAGAATGGATGCCGTCCTCAAACAGTCAAATACTGCTACAGTTAGGATTCAATCAAATGTTTTCACATAAAGCAGGGAAATTAATTGGAAGCACCCACAGCGAATAAAAACAAAAACAAAGTACAATCAAATGTTTAGATTCATCTTTAAAGTGTAATTCCAGATACAAATACCATTCAAAGTGCTTTAGTGAGTGATCTAGAGCAATGTAATGATAATGCTGCATTCAAGTGCTGCTCGGGTGTTCCAAGTTTCTGAGTTGGAAAGTCGTTCTTCCGACTTCAGTGTGTTCACGTGATTTCAGTTTGGAGTCAGAACGTTGTAACAACAGCACAAAACAGCGCTGATGCTACGAAGAAGATCAGTGGAATGCAGCTGGTGAAAATAATGTTGGAGCAAAAAGTTGATGAATAATATGTGAATTCATTAAAAGTATGTTAACATTAACAAAACATATTTTGCCCTCCATTTGATGAATATGACGTCTAGTCAGTAAGTTGGGCACCTAATTATTTTCCTAGTTTCCGAGTTGTTGTTCCGACTTAAACATGTGTTAATGTGCATTTTACAACTCGGAAACTTGTTTTTCCGATGTGTCTGACACCACATGAATGCACCACAACTCCCTGTACTCAGAGATCAAGTTTATATAATTTGATAAACTTGATTTTGTAACGTTAGAAGTTGTGCTTTGGTGGAAGATCTCCGCCATCATTCATTGCTTTGGTAGAACTGAATAATATTTTCTATCTATGTTGTGACAAAGTAAGGAGAACATAAAACTATAGAGTAAAAACTGATAAACAATGCGATAAATGCTCAGAAACAGTCTAATGAATGAACAATGGTTTTAGCTATGTGGGCTGCAGTGCACATGCCCCCATCCGACCATATGGCTCCTTTCCTGCATATCATTCTCTACTCTCTTTTCCCGGTTTCAGACTCTATCCACACCTCAAATCATTGAAATAAAGGCATAAAAAGCCTCCCTTTTATTTGTATAAGATTTGGCAATATATTTACACATTCATGCCAATAAAGCTTATTGAATTGAACTGAATTAAACATGGACAGGTAAGTGTCACCTCAGATTTAATTTAATAAACCAGGACACTGCTTTAAACTCTCCATCAAGACCTAGAGATATTGGGCCTTTTGTTCCTACCCTCTAATACACACAGGATTGTTACCTTAATTAGTAGCAATAACCTGCTTTGCTTTGCATGTAAAATGTTCTTTGTTTTACTTTGAGTCAGGTTGCAGTGAATAAAAAAAAAATGAAAACAGTAACTTCTCATCACTGAGAATCCCCTTTGCTTTGTCCCTGATCCAACGGTGTCTTCATAAAACTTTAGATATTTGATCTGGGCAGTAAGCGTTGTTGGACAAATGTGGATGTGAGTCACAGGGAGTTTTCTCAGATAGCCAGCGTAAAGGGGGAATCTGCTGTCTCATACTTACTCAAACACTCAACAGCCACACACAAAAAATGCAAATCCAGAGTAAAAACTTTAGTCCAGCTGGCTCTGGGACTTTGAACAGAACAGGACATTTTTCCCACATGGTCTCACTTTGATTTAAAATACCTATCAGTAGCAGGAAAGATGAGATGAATTACATTGTTGTACAGCGCTTTTATTTTCTATTACTGGGGTTTATGTCCTAAATCAAAGCAGAAACACATCTGAATTCTATTCAAATGCAGAGTTTTCGCTTTAATTCATTTCACAACAAAACCACATGCTGGTGGACCATTTCAAGCATCTTTGAAGAGACTGTTCAGCGTCTTTTAGCAGCAACATATGGGGCACATCAGGAAAAAACTCAAGCTGAAAAACAATTAATAACACAT